GAGAACTAAAATTTTACATATTTAAAATTATGTTCAGAAAGAATGATTTGTTAGTATTGGCTTTGTACTACAAAACATTTTTTAATGTTTTGAAGCTGATTTTTTTACAGTAACATATTTTTAAAGGATAAAGGAGAGATTAAGATAAGATCCAAGTCATATAATAAAGCTTTTTGTGAGCTTAAAAAGCAAATATTTTTATGAAATATGTCATTAAATATATTATACAGATGTAATGGTATATATGTCCATTTTAAAGAAGAATGTTTTCATTGTTAGCTCAATTATTTATTTCTTATTATATTAAGAAAAACCATCAGGCAGTAGTTGCATACCTGCCTGTGCAAGTTCTGGAAACTTGCAAACCCATTTCACCTTAGTTTGCTCCAATCTATATTTTCTTCATTTCCTTCATGTTACCAGTGATTAAGATGTCTTGATTACAGAAATACATAGGAAATTGACTGGTAATATGGGGTCAAAGGTAAAACCAAGGTGGCAGTTATTCCATAGTCTTTACTATGGCAGGTAATGGGTTTACAGACTGGCGCTTACTTTCATGGTTGTGATATATACAGGGGAAAGGAAATACCATGCTGGGTATTTTTATTCACATGATGATGGACAAACAAAAAAGTATGTGCTTCCCTGCATCCCTCTTCCCTCCAAAGACTCACACATCAGAAGGTTTACTGTTAATTAAGAGTATAGCACGCAGACCACTTGGTTCTTGCAAGCAGAGTTTCTTCAAAGGCAAAAGCTTGGTGCCACGATTTATCTGTAGATAATTTAAGAATTTATAAGTAATATCTGTGTGAGGCATATTTAAAAAAATAAATATTGATAGCATATGTTCTCAACTGTTTGAGTTGTCTAATCTCTCGTTCTCTCTTTCTCTCTCTCTCTCTCTCTCTCTCTCTCTCTCTCACTCACACACACACACACACACACACACACACACACACACTTAGAAAGAGAAGTCTGACATCTGTGGAACTCTTGCCTTTGGCAGAGTTTGGCAGGATATGTTCTTCTAGTTTCCCACAACCTTTATTGCTGTTTGACACCCCAACTGCCAGCTTAAGACCTGAAAGTAGTTAAATCCATCTATATATTAATACGTACTTTATTGCCTGTAAAAGTAACTAATTACCAAACAATTGTGAGACTGTCTAAAAACAGGCTAGACAAAGTCCTGCAGTGACAATTCTATCAGCCTGATGAACAGGGCTAGATCAGAGCACAGTCTGAGGTCTTTTCCAGTCAATTTACAGTTAGATACCTCTTTTATCCAAGGTACTTTTCCTAATCATTTTAAAGTAAGATCGATTATGACACTCTGCCCAGAATTCTGCCATAGTTTCCAGCTTCATTCAGAGTAAAGGCCAAGATCCTTCCAAGTTCTACAAGACTTCTCTTTCCTTCTCTGACAGAGTTGCCATTCTTCTGCCCTTCAGTTCATTCAGCTCCAGCTATACTGAATTTGCTGTTGCTTCCATATGTCAAACATGTTTATATCTTATATATTCTGCACTAGTAGTTTCCTCTGCTAAAAAGCTCTTCCCCCTCTTCCAAATACTTCAATCCTTTAGGATTTTGCTCACATAGTACCCTCTCTGCAAGGTCTAACTGATCACATTGTCTAAAATCACAACTATCCTCCCCAGCACTATAAAGCCTCCTAAACTGCTTCTGCTCTATTCTCTCCACCCGCAGATCTTATTTTAGACCTGTGATATAAGGAATTTATTCATTGTGTTTCCTCTCACTGGCACCATGGGTGTAGAGGTCATTTTCTTTTTGTTTACTGACATATTCAAAGCCTATAATATTAAAATCAATATTTACTGAATAAATGAATTAGAGTATTGTCTATAAAGGAAATTGTCTCATTTTTTAAAAACTTGTGGACAGATTTTGTCACAGTTTGATCTGATCCATGGTCATATCTTCTGATTTATTTTTCAGTTTTTATGCCCTTTTCCTCATTTTCCTTAAAGCACCTTTTGCACTAATGTATCACTTCTTTTGAAATTACTTATCATTGAACAAAATAGACTTTCTTAGAGCAATGATTTCTCAGTGGTTGCTGTGTATGTTAGGGGCATGGTGGTGGTGGTGGTACTTGGGGAAAGCAGAAGGAAGACCTAAAATCTTAAGCTAAAGGAACCCAAAATCAATTTGCCGTGAGACCCCCTAGACCACACAAGAAGCTGTCATGATTCAACCTCTCTGGCATCCCTTTTAAAACTTGTTTTTCAAAGATGCAGTAATGCTAAACTGCAGGTTAAGCATGCTTATATGGATAACACCCTGTCCTTAGAGGACCTTTCATCCTGGACAGAACGAAGAGCATCAGAAGGACAATGTGTCGACTCAGAAGTGAAAGCCCCAACAATGAGAAAAATCCAGTGGAAGGACCAAGATCTCTACTTATGGATTAAATTGGAATGGACCAATTATAATTTGCAATTCTCCATCCTTCCTGTTCCTAACTCAAATCATAATACTTAAAAAGCCCCTGTCTGATGGTATTACTTATAAATGGAATATAGAAAAACTGAAAGGAATAATTAAAGACAGATTTAAAAAACGAACCCTATTAAAATTGATTATAGAAGTTAGGAACTCATAGGGGGAGGGGAGGAAATGGGTGAGAGCCAGGTAGGGAGCACAATGGACTAAGGTGGTGAATCACAGGTGCTTTTGTGGTGGGTACACTATGGCAGTAACACTTGTGGGGGTGAGGGATATACTCCCAAATTTCAAACAACAATATAAACCAACATTACCTCAATAAAAAAATGTAAAAATAATTTTAAAAGTCCCTGTCTGCTTGTGACTAGGGAAGCACACATCCTCACATCCTCCCTGATGTGAGGAGGTGATAGTAACACTTAAAACCTTTTGAAGAATTCAGTTTGGCCTAAATTGGGATATGTGGCTATTTAAATTTCTCCCCATTCTAATGATGGCTATTGGTTTCCAGAAGAAGTAGAAAATGATTTCTTATTTATTTATTTCTTATTTTTTATTTTTATATTCCCCATACAATTGCAACCCCCTTATTTTGGCCCTGATCCCTCCTTTCCCCGCCCCCCACCCCTCATAGAGTGTCTCTGGTTCAGAATTGTTTGTTGATTTTGATTTTTTTTCTTTTTTATAGTTATTCTTTTTCCTGGTCCCTTATTTAAGTTTTCTAGATTCCTGTTATGAGTGAGACCATCCACTATTTTTCTTTTTCTTTCTGGCTTATTTCGCTGATCATGATCCCTTCCAGCTTCATCCATGTTGCTGCAAATTGCATGTGTTTATCTTTTTTGATTGCTGAGTAATATTCCATTGTGTATATGCACCACATCTTCTTGATCCAGTCATCTATTTTTGGGCATTTGGGTTGTTTCCAAAGCTTAGCTATTGTAAATAGTGCTGCTATAAACATAGGGGTGCAGGTGCTCTTTGGAATTAATGTTTCTGTGTCCTTTGGGTAAATACCTAGGAGTGGAGTTGCTGGATCATATGGAAGCTCTATCTTTAGCAGATTGAGGAATCTCCACACAGCTTTCCATAGTGGATGGACCAGTTTGCACTCCCACCAGCAGTGCAGGAGAGTTCCTTTCTCTCCATATCCTCGCCAACATAAAATAATATTCTTAAAATAACATTTTAAATAAGTATTATAACTTGATTAATTTCATCAAACTGTAATTAATAAATTGAAAAATCTATACTTCTATCCTCATTACTAAAATTGAAAATTAGAATTAACAGAACCCTAACAGTGAAAATGCGTCATCTTTTATATTTTCTCTAACATTTGAGACTAGCAATAGCAAGCTGACTTAATTGTAAATAATCATATTCCAGTTTAAATTTTACATAAAAGCAAAACGTGGGCCTCCCTTGTGGCGCAAGGGGTTAAGCACCACACTATGAAGCAATCCACAGCCTCTGCAGCATGAGTTCCATCCCTGGCTGGCCAGGGAGCTATCCACATGGTGCAGCAGACCTCTCCTGACTCACCCACTGCTCCCCTCAGTAGTGTATTTCAATGGATCTGCCTGTTCTGCTCCCCACTCTGTCTCTGGTGAATCCCCACACAAACACCTCTGGCCTCTACCCCCGCTCGTGTACGCATAAATAAATAAATCTTAAAAAAAAAAAAAAGCAAAATGTTATAGCAGACAAAATGAATAATGAAGTTCTGACTCCCATGTTTTTGTCTATAAAAATATAAATTATGTTAGCTGGTTATAAAGTTGCAATGTAATGGCACCATGATAAAAGAAGTAATTATCATACACACCGAAATATAATTTGGTGCTGCCACTTACCTGACCACAATCATAGAATCCATCACTAATTATATCACTTGATGACAAATAGCCCATCTGGCTATATTTCATGGGCAGGTTGTTGTTGAGCAATTTGTTATAAGCTGCTTCACTGAATTTATTTTTTCGAGTTACTGAAAGATTAATTTCTTCAAGGATATCTAAAGCCCTGTCAATAAAAGCAAACAGTATTATTTGCTTTTTACAAGCAACCCAACATTAAATTGTCATTTATATATACAGCTAAAATTCTCAATGAAGGATTAAGATGGGAAGTTTACAAGCCATACCTGAATCTTTTAGATAAACTCATACTAACAGAATCATGAAAACAAATCATTCAATTTGGGGAACATAAATGCCATATATAAGTCATATTAAAGCTTTCAGAAAAAAAAAGCTCTTCATTTGAAGCAGAAGTATTAGACTCCAACATTTTCAGCTAATCAGGCAATATAGATAAAGAATAAAAAATGGTTAGAAATAGAATAAACCTGTCTGTGGACACTTAACAATGTTTTCTGACTTGCTAGAGGCAACTAATTCATCGGCTGCTGGGAAGGAGAAGGAATTTGGTGGGGGTGAAATGCTGATGAAATTCTGATAAAAAGTTTTGGGTGGGGAGGAGAAAAATGACACTCACATGGATCACCTATTTTATTTTAGCTTTGAAAGCTGAGACACAAATAGGATTGTGTTTAGCAACAGCATAAGAAAGTGAAAGAGAAGCATTTATCAAGATGAAAAACGTGACGAGGTGGGTAAGGCAGGTAAAAGGGGCCAATTGTGTGCTGGATGATGGAAATTGGTCTTTGGGTGGTGAAGATCACGTCCTATGCATAGATGTTCAGTTGTAATGCTGTACACTAAACAGCTATAGAATGTTATAAACTAAGTTACTTCAATATTTTTATTACGAATTTTTTGAATAAATATAAAATTTTACAAATGTTTTCAAGATTAAAAAGTGTAAAAGGAAATATTGAAGGGGTGGAAGAGAGGAAAGGTGTGAAAACTTCTCCCCTCAGGCAGGCCCTTCAGAGGGAAGACCCTGTGCTGTGACACAGCCCAAGAGCGCGTGCTGACCCTTTTTGAAATTCCTTGTGCCTGAAGCACCTGCTGCTTAATTGTCTGCTCTTCATCTAATTCTGGAACTTGGCACAGTATCCACTTACCCAAGCTGGAAAAATTCAGCGGCCATCAATTCATCGCCGGCGCAGACCATCACAGCCCAGCTCGCATGCCTTCGGACTTCGTTATTCTTAGAACGCAGGAGCTCTACCAGGGGTTCCAGCCCCCCTAAATTTCTTAACTGAAAGTAGAAACCAAAATGATATGCATTAAAAGTGCAGAATGTAAACCTTTGTGTTTTAAAATATTTCATTATTTGATTGTCAAAAGGGTTTAACTATTTAGACATATTTTAGGATGTGTCCATATTGAGATTTACTAAACTCAGTTTTGGGAGGAGAAATCTATGCAAGTCCTTACAGAAAGGAGCCCAGTTTTTGGTTGAAAATCAAGAGGCTAAAGTAAAATAAACAAGGGAGGTGACCATGACCTTTGCAAGATAGATCTCCCCAAGATGTTCAGAACGGGGCTTCTTAGTCATGTCACCTTGGTCTGTGGCTTATTTTGAGTTAAGGTCAATCAAGGTCATGTAGACTCAAGAGAAACAATTACCATTTGTCTACCTAGAAAAATGAAGATTATGAGTATTACCCAGATTTTGAGTTTTCTCCAGAAACAACTCTTCTATCAGAGAAAGCAATTATAAGCAAGGCAAACATCTAGTTACAAGGCATCTGGTGTTTTATCATGAGCCCCCTTCCTCTCTCCTGGAAGCACCAGGCCCCTATCCCACTTATTAGCTCAGAATAAAAACCCTTAGTTTCTTCTTTTAACTTTAGAATTATACCAATGTAGACTGTCTCTCTCTTTCTCTCTCTCTATATATAAATATATGTATATGTGTATACATAAATATACATTAATATATAAATATATAAATATTTATATATATAAGTTACTTAAATATTTTTAATTACAAATTTTTGAATAAATATAAAATTTTATAAATGTGTATATATAATTATATATATAATTTTATATTGTATATATACAAATATATACAAACATATATAATTATATATACAAATGTATATATAAAATATAAAATTTTACAAACGTATATATAGATAAACAAATATATATACAGACCTATATATAGATATGCAATTTGTTCTTTTTTCCTACTAATCTGCCTTATGTTAATTTAATTACTAGACCAATCCTGGAAGAACATTAAATGGCAGAGGAAAATTTCCCTTCTGTTCCTTCACATTACATGGGCTAGAGCTGAGCAGAGAACTTATCTTCTCACTGCCCGCAAGTGGGATGTGCTATGTTCATGCACTCTGCTCCTCAACATTGAGTGTTCATTTGACCGGTATATAGTATAATCATCTCCCCAAAGATGTCCTTGTTACTGTAAAGGCTTCTGCAGATGAAATTAAGTTAAAATTGAGATGAAAATCTTGGTTATTGTGTGTTCCAAATATAATCACAAGAATCTTAGGGAGAACAGGAGTACAGGCAGAGAAAGCAGACATACAGAAGATGACAAAATGAATCACTTATATGATGGAAGAAGCAGGTGGATGATAAAATCTTGAAAGGAATAAGAAGTAGATTTATTTCCCCCTAAAGTCGCCAGAAGGAATACAACTTTGCCAAAACCTTGATTTTAAACCATAACCCATTTTCAGACTTCTGACCTCCCAAATTCTTGGATAATAGATTTGTATTGCTTTAATCCACTACATTGTGGTAATTTGTTACGGCATCAACAAGAAACTAATAAAATCCTTAAGACCGGACAAGGAGAACCAATGCAGGCAGGTATCACCCATGTCAATGGAGACTGTACCGTATCAGTAGTTTAGCCAAAGCAATACTGAAGCAATTCCTTAGAAAAAGACCCACTTTTGTTGCCTTGTACAGTGTTTTCTCTTCCTTTCTCCAAGCAGTCAAAATGAGAATAATAATAACATTAAGAGAATTGAGCAGAACTACATTAACCATATTACTGAAATTATTCCAATCAGAAAGAGCAAAAAAAGATTGGACAGGATTCTCTTCTCATTGTCTGAAATGCACTACTATAGTATCTGTGCCTGGAGGACAAAAAGAATATTATATCTTTATTTCTGAGTATAATACAGAGAGCACTCTAACTAAATGTATTCTTTTGGCAAAGATCTAATTCATGTATTAGTCCCTCCATTTATTCACTTATCCACTTATTAACTGTTTACTATGCAAACACTATATTATGCAAGGTAATTATTCATGACACGCCACAAAGGAAAAACTTCAATTCCATTCCCTAAAGTCTTAAGTGGTTTATGGTTTTTCAGAGACCATATATTTCAAAAAAGAGAACACAGGAGGCGTATAGAGAGGAAGATGCAGCCAATTTTGAGGGCTGAAGAAAGGCCTCAAGGAAGATAGAATGACTGAGTTGTGTTTGGGAGGAGAACAAAAGTAGACTAGCTTTCCAAGGTAAGAAATCAAGGAGGTATAAATGAGAGAAGGGAGCACACTGGCAGAAGTACAAACAGTATGATATTTCTGGAGTGTAGTGTTCACCTGGGAAGAAACTTTGGGCTTAGGGAGGGAGGGTCAGGCCATTGAATAACAGCCTAAGAAGTTTACCATTGACCTTGAGGCACTGGCACACAACAGGGCACATATAATGTGATGAGGTCCATCTATTTGAAAGCTCAGTCAGAGGGCAGTGTGGGGAGGAATGCAGCAGAATCGTCTACAATATTCCAGGAAACAGATGGACTACTCTGCAAGATACATGAAACAAGTCATTGTTTATCACTGTCTGTTCAAGGCCTAGTGTAGTTCCTGCCACATAGCACTTGGTAAATAAATACTTGTTTGACGTGCTCACTACCTTAATGGATGAATACAAGTAAACTGAGCCAATGGGAACAAGAAAGAGGAACAGAGTAGATCCCTAAGAGTTAGAAAAGACTTGGTAGTTGTCTGAGCACATAGCACATCATGAGAGCTCAGGACTCAAGGAGATGTAGTCTCATATTGCTGATCTACCACTTACCAGCTCTGCTTAAACACATTATTTCTTCAAGCTTCAATTTCATCTGTAAATACATGGGGATACAGACATACTTTTTCAAGTGGGCTTAATGCATATAAAACACAGTACTTGGCACACAATAGGAATCCAGTAACTATCAACTATTGTAATTTATATTGGGGAGACTTGAAACAAAGTTTTAGGATGGTTGAATGGTGCCACAGTGACGAGTACATAAGAGAAATGCAAAAGGGGAAGGGATGTTTGTAGGTTTATAGTAAATCTTTTTTTTAATATTTATTTATTTATTTATACAAGAACCGGGGTACAGGCCAGATGCTCAGGAGGGTGAGAGGATTCACCAGACAGAGCAGGGAATAGAACAGGCAGACTGATGAAATACACTGTTGAGGGGAGCAGCGGGTGAGACAAGAGAGGTCTGCCGAGCCATGTGGGACCCTCGCCAGCCGGCCGGGATTGAACTGTGTGCTGCAGAGGCTGCAGACAGCTCCACAGCGCTGTGCTCAAGCGCCTGCACCACCAGGGGAGGCCCTATAGTAAATTTTTATGAATAGAACCAAACATACTTCTATACATTGAATTTGTAAAAAATGCAATTCTGTGTTTCAAAATTTTGAAATATAAGAAAAGCACAATAGTATGTGGAAGCCATGTGTATAATTTAAAGACTCAAAATAAAAGGCACACCTTTGCCTACCACCCAACTTTAAAAAATGGCACATTTCAGTGACTTGAATGCTTGTGTGCTCTTCTTAATTACATCTACCTCCTTAAGTCCCCTGATAATCAATGATTACCTTGAATTAGGGGTTCATCATTCTCTCATTTTCCTTTATGGGTTCTAACTTATATACATATATGCCTATACAACATACTACTTAGTTCTGTATATTTTTGAATTTAAAGTAAATGCAATCATCATTATATATTCTTCTGCACTTGTTTTTGCTTACTTAGCATTATGCTTGTTGAGATACATCTTTGAATCAGTAACTATAGTTCATTTTCACTGATGTGAGATTCTATTTTATCAATAAGCACAAATTCTGTACCCAGTCTCTTAACCATTGGACAACTGGTTTGTTTCCAGGTGTGTAGAAATTATAAAAATTCTTCCCAGAGCACAGCGGCAAGAGACTTGATAGATTGCAGGGTTACAGGGTATGCTACAGGGTTTGCCACATAATGCCAGGTGGTTTTGCAAAATGCTACACCCAATCATAAAGGACTTAAAAACCAGGTTGGTTCAAACACTTGAAACTGTTTCTAAATGATCCACCAATAAGTGTGGCCTGGGAACATGAGAGAATCCATGTTCCTAGAATTCTCACCTCTGTCCGGGCCTCAAAGTCGCAGGCTGTGGCAGCGACAGCCAGAGCCGCCTTGCTCTGCACAACGGTGTTGGCAGAACGCAGAGGGCCGAGAAGGGCCTCCATGATCCCCCGGGTCTGCATGTGCACGCGCAGAGGCTCCTGCGTGGCCATGTTGGTTAAGGCGGTGGCCGCGTTGGCAATCGCTCCGTCTCGGTTGCTGGCCAGGATATTTATTAATGGGCCGATTCCATCAGCTTCTGCGACAGCACTGGGTACACGAAGGGGAAGTGAAAATATCTTGGAGCATATGACAAAGTCTATAAAGAAGTGAGTACATAAGGGGCCTCCCTGGTGGCGCAAGGGATTAAGACGCAACCTATGAACCTATCCACAGCCACTGCAGCACGAGTTCCATTCCCACCCAGGGAGCTATCCACATGTCTCTGGTGAATCCTCTCACCACACCCCCGCATCTCTGGCCTGCAACCCAGTTCTTGTATGCATAAATAAATAAATCTTAAAAAAAAAAAAGAAATGAGTACATGAATTAATTTTAAAGATTTATTTATTTATCTATACAAGCACTGGGTACAGTCAGAAGCGCAGGAAGGTGAGAGAACTCACCAGAGCCAGAGCAGGGAGCAGAACAGGCAGACTGACGAAATACACTGCTGAGGGGAGCAGTGGGTACAGCAGGAGAGGTCTGTTGCGTCATGTGGGACCCTCGCCCGTGGACGGGGATCGAGACAGTGCTGCAGAGGCTGCGGGCAGCTTCGCAGCCCAGCACTCAACCACTGCGCCACCAGGGGAGGCTCATGAATTAATTTTAGAAGTAAATTAAATTAGCCTCAGTGAGATGGATCCAGAATTAAAAGAAATCTGAGAAAATGTCAAGTAAGA